TCCCTCAGATGTACTGTCAGACCTGAAAAAGAAACTTTTTCTTTCTTTCTTTTTTTATTGTATGAATAGTAAAAGATACGGAAAGAGAGAAACATGACAATAGCTGACCTGAAATATGAACTTTGACAAGTAAATGTTGAACAAAATATCTGGCATTATTTTTAAAGAATGTTTGATAACAAGAGTAGAAGCTTTTTCTATAATCCTTTTTGTTTCTGTGTTTTTATTTCTAGGGGGGGCGGACGGGCCGAGGGACAGTCTGTCCAAAATGGCACCACCCTCCCATAAAAAGATGAGTAGAAAAAAAAAGCCTTTTGTTCTCTGTGACAATGTTTTTCTGTCATTTTAGGCCTCACATGTGGAAAAGCCTTTAATTTTGAATTTTGGGTTTATTTACGTTATTTAACAAAGGCTATATTAGTTTGTTTTTGATTACCATTGTTCACTGAACAATAGTACTAGCTCCGTTTGTCTATCTATCTTTTCCTCTTGTGACTAATTTTTGGCTTTAAGGGTGCACCTGATAATTTTATTTTTTATTGGATAATGTTTTTGTCAGGTGTTATTTTGACCTGGGTGTTTTTGTTGTTTTTTTTAAACCTTATCTTATCATGTTTTCAATAGGTTATTATGGTCTTCACCTGTTTAGACTATCTGTCTTACTGAGCTTGGAAAATTGATCTTAGCATTTAGAGAAACACGAACATCTGATTACTTACTGTTTGGGTTTGGTTGAATTTTGCAAAATGCTTGCCAATAATTATTGCCATAAGAGAGTTTTGTGTTATTTTTGGTTAGCTGGTTCCCTGCATATTAAAGAGCCCAGTCACTTATATAAAAAAGTCCTCAGAGGGAACAAAAAAACATGGTTAAACGTGTTGATAAGGAAGTACTGTTTGCATTTTTTTAATCTAAAACTAAATATGACCGTGAGTCTGCAGAAACACCACTGCCTATGCAGTCTCACATGGCGGACCTTTCGTTTAAATACACATTGTGGGGTATTTCAGATCTGACCTTGTTTCCCCCCATGTTGTTGAAAAACATTTTAAAACATACTCTGAAAAGCAGGTGGACCTCCACTCCTAGTTGCGTCGCATTGCACGCGTTCATACATCTGTCTCCTCAAACATTTCGTCACATCTTTCATCGCTCCTCAGCTTTTATCTCAGCCATTTCAGGGTTTTTATCTCACGACGAGACCATACCTGAGTGGCTCAGTGGGAGCTGTCCAGCGCCCCGCGATCTGGCCCACTCATACTTGCTGGATCTCCACTGAGGCACAGTTAAAGGGTGTGGGGGCCCAGCTCATGGGTGTCTGAGTGAGGGGGGTGCTTGTGTGTGCGTGTGTGGGGGTGATGATGACATCGGTTCCTCCTAGGTTTTTTTTCCACCACATATGTAAAGCTGAGGCTGCAAATTTGTTGGTCTTACAGAGACGTGCAGCACAGCTGATAAGTTACTTGCATAAATACATAAAAGGAAAAACTAAAAACCTGTTTCACAGGCAGTTCCTGGGGGCCAGTCGACTGTATTACATTGCTAAATGAATGGTGAATAAACTTTTGCTGTAAAGCAGCAGAGACTATTGCAATCTGTGTGCTTAAAGAATATGACACCTGGCGTCCCACTGGCCTTTGTTCAAAGAACAAGAGCATTTTTGTTTATATATGAGGATAAGACGGAGAACTGATGTGTTTTTGAGTAATATTATTTATAAACTACGATTGTATAATTTAATCATCATCATTTTCACACACAAACTGTCCATCTAAAATAAGTGTTTTTGAGTTTTTTCTAAATTTTGTTTTTCTCTCTGAGTGTTTGTGTGAGTTTTTCCGCAGGGCGAATGCTGTTCTCACCGGGGGTTCTCCATTTCCACCTGGAACCAGCTGTGTGCCACCTCGTGCTAACCTTTCCAACGGGCGTTTCCTGGGGGTCCTTTTGGGGGGGCGGCATCCCTCCCACATCATCACGTTCCACCTTTGAGCAGGCCGTGTGCGGCTGCTCTCTCTGGGCGAGATTTCTAAAACGCTACACCTCTGGCCTTGTGTTTTGGTGTGGTTTCTGATCACACACCCTCTGCCTTAATGAAATAAAGAGAACAGGACTGTTTTTTACACCCAGGCTAAATTAGCTGGGTGAGAGTGCTTTTCACCACACTGTTTGCATTTTTTCCGCCAACATGAAACATTCAGTATAAACCCCCCCTATCTGAAATACTGGACTAACTTTGTGTTTTTCTGACTGGCTTATTATTATGTATTTTAAACGTTTCACTGTTTTGCCTGCAATGCAATTATGTCTGTGCAATGTTTGGAATTTCCTGGTTTTTCTCAGGGATTGTTTTGATGCCCTGGGTAGCTGGGTTGGTATTTAGCTCCCCCTCCTGGGCGGTATCAGGGTTACCCCTGGTCCATTTCTGAAGCCCATCTCATAACATAATTTTAAAACATTAGACACTTCTGGATGTTTGGGTTTTTGTGTTTTTTTTTAATTTTATGGATTGTTTTATTTGGTTTGTGATTTTATAGTGTTTTGTCCTTCTGTGCAGCTTCCTGGTAAAGTTTAGGTGATTGTCGGCTGAGTCTCAGGGAGGCTCCTCCCACGACAGTCACATTTTTGTTTGTTTGTTCCTTTCTGCGTTTGTGGTAAGCTGGGGAGGGGGTATTCTGCTACCTCGAGCCTGGTACGCTACAAAAACATATTTGAGGGAGAATTCACCTGTCTGGGTTGTTTGAGGTCCAGGAGCTGAGATGTGCTGTCTAACAACATCTTTGTCATCACAGAAGGACTAGATCTAGGCTTACGTTGGTTTTAGCTTAGGTGTAACAAGAAGAGGGGGGTGCTATTTCTTTTAGTTTAATTTATTTAGACTTTAGATTTAGCTTTTGTTTGTTATTTTGGTTAAACTTTTGTTTTTTCTCTTTTTCTTGCACAATCCAGCTCATGCCAGTAATCCATACATTTTGAGTTCACGCCTTATGGGATCTGTGGTTTTTGACAAAACTGATTTTGAAACTTTCATTTTTTTTTTCTTTTTTTACCTGCTTACTTTTCTGGGGTTGCAGAGTTTACCTTATGTATGCTCTGGTACAGGGGTGCCCAAACATTTTTTCCTGAGAGGGCCAAAATTAAAATCAACCTGAGGGCCGTGGGCCAAATGCAATAATATAAGAAATGCAAATAGTTGTTTTTTTTTTTGGCCAGAAAGAAATACAGAAATGCAAACACTTCTTAAAAAAAAAGTAAAGTTGTTTTATTTTTTATGATTAAGCTAATGTGGTTGCCCATATTTATTTTTCTTTCAGCCCATGGACATTGAGAAAATTCAACTTATGCTCAGGCAGCAAAGGCTCATGGGACTTTTCATAATTTAAAATTTGAGTATATGGGATCTTATAATGCGTGCAAATCTAGATGTGGACTTAAATCTAATCTAAATGTCTCTTGTAGTGACTTGTATTTTATATTTAATCTTACCATAATCTAGTAAACAGCACAACTGCTGGTGGGCCAAATCAAATGGCTTGGCGGGCCAATTTTGGCCCGCGGGCCCCACTTTGGGCACCTCTGCTCTGGTATTTTTAGAGTTAGATTTTTGTTTTTTATGATTCTGGATTGTTTGGGGCAGAATAAAGTTTACCTGAATGGGGTGGAAACTGAATTTTGCACATTTTAATGACATTTCCACATTTATTCATGAAGTTTTGTTGTCTTCATTTATGATTTGTTTTTGAACTTGTCCAATCGCTTTGCTAGAAGTTAATGCCTTCAGCATTTCTTCAACTCGCCTTGTCCTAATTTGCATTACTTAAGGTTCACTAGTTGTTATTAAGTTAACACATTATCCAAGATAAGATTCTGAGGGAACACATTCGGCTAACACTATTCATATTTGAGGGGGGCAGAACTTGTGTTGTGATACCTTGTCTGAGGTTTGGACTTTTGAGTTTTTTAAATTTCGACATGTTTTTCTTCATCGATTCTTCTGATGTGTGATGATGTTTCAGTTGTCATTTATGGCTTTTTCCTGTTGTATCGTACATTGATTGAATGTATATGTTGTTGGTCGTCATATATTAACTTACAGTATTTTTCCCTTATTTTTAAATTGTATTTGTTGTTGAGTAATGCATTTGTGTTTGGACGTTTAATAATTATTCCTTTTTATTTGGTTTGAGTATTGTTTACTCAAGAGGAGGGATTGTTGTCTGTTCTACCTTGACACCGTCCTGTAATCATATCTCATGATAACTAGTTTCGGCTGTTTTATTCTATCGGCCCAGACTTCAAGACTCCAGCAATGCATGACCTGTTTTATTTTGATAAGGTGTTTCCGGGCTGACAGCCCTGTCATTGGTTAGATGGTTCACAGTTGGTGAACTGTGATTGGTTGTAAGCATGTCACATGATGTTATATTATCAGCTGCTCTGCGCTGACGAGCAGCCACAACTTGACAGACTTCTGATTGACTTCTGCTCTGTTGTTGCTCAGATTAAATCATTTGACGACCATACACGCAGACTTTCTGTGCATTTATTCCAACATGTATTCTTGGTAAATCGTGCCACAACATATGTAAAATTAGTTTTTTTTTAAATAAGATTATTATTTACATTTTTTGTAAATTGAAGATACTTTTGTTTGAATTTATCTATTTGTGAAAAAGGGGCAAAAATCACAAGATCCTTTCTTCTTCGGCTATATATATA